ATTTTTCAGGTTAGAAAAATGTAACTTGAGGACAGCCCCAAGGATCAAGCCTGGGTCCCCAATTATTTGCTATCTATATTAATGACTGGGAGGAGGGGCAGTGCATAATGTATTCAAGTTTGATGATATAAAAATAGATGGGAAGGCATGTTATGATAAGGACATAACCTATCTTTATGCACAGATTTCTTACGAATAGGGAAAAACATAACTTGACAGATAAAAGTTTAATGTAGGAACGTATGAGGTCATCACATGGAGCAACTCCAAAGAATTGCAGGAGCAAATTACTGCAGATGTTGGAGAGGTACCGACAATTTTAAAAATTGCTGGAATTCACAGTGGGTCAGGCAGCATGCATGGAGACCAAGCTAACATTTTGAGTCTAGATGACTCTTCATCAGAGCTGACCTGAAGTGTGGAAGTGGCTGCACTTATGCAGTAGTGAGGGGGTGGAGTGCTAGGGGAGAAAGGGTACTGATAGTACAGATTAAGTGATCAGAATGTGAGAATGGCAGAATAATGGTGTGTCTAACTGCCAGACTGGAAAGTATAGACAGTCTCAGTGGTGTAGGGGGAGGGGAGAGAGGACACGATGACAGTAACAAGTAAAACTAAAAGGGGATGAAATAGGAGTCGGCTCACAATCTGAAGATGTTGAACTCAATACTAAATCCAGAAGGTTGTAAAGTGCCTAGTCTGAAGATAAGATGCTGTTCCTCTGGTTTCCACTGAGATTCGCTGGAGCATTGCAGGATGCTGAAGACAGACAAGCGGGCATGGGAGCAGGATGCTGTGTTAAAATGACTAGCTACGGGAAGGTTGGGATCATGCTTGTGTATGGACCAGAGGTGTTCTGCAAAGTGGTCACCCAATCTGCGTCTGGTTTCTCCAATGTAGAGTAGGCCACATGGGATACAGTGAATGCAATAGACCAGATTGGAGGAGGTACAGGTGAAATGCTGCTTCACCTGGAAAGACTATTTAGGCCCTTGGATGGGGAGCAGGGAGGTGGTGAAGGGGGCGGGTGTTGCACCTTTTACATGGGAAGGTGCTGTTGGTGGTCAAGGAATAGACTAGGGGGACGGGGTACTGAGATGATGTGTTTAGTGGTGGCATTCCGCTGGAGTTGTCTGAAATGGCAGAGAATGATCCTTTGAATGCAGAGGCTAGTGGATGAAAAGTGAAGGGGGACTCAATCATGCTGTTGTGAGCGATGGGAAGGGGCAAGGGTGGAAGCAAGGGTAATAGGTCGGATGTGGTTGAGGGCCCTATCATCCACAGTGGGTGGGAAACCACGGTTATGGAAGAAGGAAGCCATGTCAACAGCACAGTTTTGGAAGATGGCATCATCCAAACAGACAATATACGCAAAGGAACTGGGAAAATGGGATGGAATCCTTGCAGGACGTGGGTGTGAAGAGCTATAATGAAGGTAGCAATGGGAGTTAGTGGCTTTGTAGTGGACGGCAGTGGACAAACGGGAGCATGAAGCAGCACCGAAACAGCAAATGTATCGATAAAAGAGTTGTAGGAGGGGGCTAGTATAAAATTATGGGTTATGGGGATAAAGCAGAAAAATGGAATTAAGGATTATCCGATCAGCCATGGCCTCAATCAATGACAGTGTTTATTTGATTCGCTGAATGGCCTATTTCTGCTCATATGTCTTATGGTCCCCTCTTAGCTTTCTTCTCTCTAAAGAGAACTGTCCCAACATCTTCAACCTATCCTCATAACTGAAATTTCTCAGCCTTGGAACCAAGCTTAAGAACTCAAAACAGTACAGGACAGGAACAAGCCCTTTGGCCTACCATAACTGTGCTGACCATAATGCCATTCTAAACTAATCCCATCTGCCTGCATGTGGTCTACATCCCTTACTATATATGGATCTATCTAAAAGCCTCTTAAAACGTTGCTATCGTCTCTGCTTCTAACACCTCCCCTGAGTGTGTTGCAGGCACCTATCACCTTCTGTGTAAGAAACTTGCCTTCCACATCTCTCTTAAACTTTCCCCTCTCACCCTTAAGCCAAACCCCCCCCCAAATTAGACATTTCCACCCTAAGAAGGATTCTGAAAAGCCATCTTCTCCTAATTTTATACACTTTTATCAGGCTGTCCTTCAGCCTCCGAAGCTCTCATGAAAACAATCCAAATTTGCATTACCTCACTTTATAACCAACATACTCCAAACCAGGCAACATCCTGGTAAACATCTGCTGTGCCCTCTCCAAATTCTTCCTATAGTGTGGGAACCAGTACTGCACACAATACTTCAAATGTGGCCTAACTAATGTTTAGTTCAGCTGCAACATGACTTTGCCAATTTTCATGGTTCAATTCCTTGACCAACAATGGCAAACATGTCTTTTACCATCTTATCCACTTGTGTTGCCACTTTCAATAAGAACATAAAAAGTAGGAGCAAGAGTAGGCCATCTGGCCCATCGAGCCTGCTCCACCATTCAATAAGATCATGGCTGATCTTTTTGTGGATTCAGCACCACTTACTTGCCCACTCACCCTAGCCCTTAATTCCCTTACTACTCAAAAATCTCTGCCTTAAAAACATTCAACGAGGCAGCCTCAACTGCTTCACTGGGCAGGGAATTCCACAGATTCATAACTCTCTGGATGAATAAGTTCCTCCTCAACTCAGTCCTAAATCTGCTCCCCCTTATTTTGAGGCTATACCCCCTACTTCCAGTTTTACATGCAAGTGGGAACAACCTCCTGCTTCTATCTTACCCACTCCCTTCATAATTTTATATTTTTCAGACAGCTAGACTTGCACCCCAAAATCCCGCTGTATATCAATGCTAAGGGGTCTTACCATTTACTGATACCTTTGCATTTGACCTCACACTTGTCCAGATTAAACTCCATCTGCTATTTCTCCACCCAACTTTCCAACTGATCTCTCTTTCGATAACCTTTCTCACTATTCATAACTGCACCAATTTACAAATATCTCAGACAGGGTTGCAGCAATTTCCTCCCTTGCCTCCTTCAATATCCTGGGATAGATCCCAGCAGATCCTAGGGATTTATCTACCTTAATGTTTAGAGCACCCAACATTACTTCCTCCTTAATATTGATATGCCCTGGAATATCAACATACCGCTCCCTAATCTTACTATTACCCATGTCCTTCTTGGTGAATGATGATGCAAAGTTCTCATTAAGGACTTAATTTCTACTGTCATCCTTGTTTGGACCAGATAGGACCAGTTTTCCCTAGCTACCTGTTTGCTCCTAACATACATATAAAATACCATGAGATTCTCTTTAATCCTAGCTGCAAAGATATTTCATAGCCCCTTTTAGCACTCCTAATTTCTTGTTTAAGTTCTTTCTGTTTATAATATAATCCTCATGGGTCTAGTCTGATTTCAGTTTCCCAAACTTTACATATGCTTCCTTTTTCTTTTGACTAACCTTTCAATATCTCATGATCCAGGATTCCTGAATCTTGCCATCCTCATCTTCCATCCCTACAGGTACATGCTGATCCTGAACTCTGATCAACTGGCCTTTAAAAGACTTCTACATGTGAGATACAGATCTACACTCAAATAGCTAGCCCAATCTAATTTCTTCAGTTCCTGTCTAATACTGTTGTAATTAGCCATTCACCCAATATAGCACCTCCCCACCCCCCCATACATGGGATAGTCTCATCTTTATCCATAGTTTATCTCAAAACTTACATGGAATTATGATCACTGTTCCCAAAATGCTTCCCCACTGAATCCCAGTCAATAATTGGGGAATTTAAGATCAACTACAACAAGCCTGTTTTTACATCTTTCTATGATCTGCTTATATATCTGTTACTCTGTCTCTCACTGGCTGCTGGGAGGTCTATTGAAAACCCTGTCATAGTGACTGCAGCTTTCTTATTTCCAGGTTCCAGCCACGTGGCCTCACTGGATGACCCCTCCAAGATGTCTTCTTATTGTCATAGCTGTGACATTCTCCTTCACCCCTTTCACATCCCCATCTATCATGCCTGATACATCTGAACTCTGGAATGTTGAGCTGCCAGTCCTGCCTTTCTCTAAGCCAAGTTTTGTAACAGCTACAACATTGTAATTCTATGTATTAATTTAGACTCTAAGTTCTTATTAATTGGTTCCGCAGTCTATTAAATTCACACCCTTCCTATAATGTGGCACCCAGAACTGTACATAATACTGAGGTCTAACGAGTTTCTTTAAGAGTTCAACATCACTTCCTTGCTTGTCCTCTTATGTCAAAGATATTGTAGACTTCATTAATTGCTTTCTGAACCTTCTGTACGGGGGTGTGTGTGTATATATATATCTTGGTTCCTTAGCTCCTGTACTCTATTTAGAATGTTGTCTTTCAATATTATTCCTACTAAAACGCATCACCTCACACTTCTCCGCACTGAACCCCATCTGCCAACTCCAAACTATCTAAGTCATTTTGGAATTCTGCACTGTCCACATAGTTTACAATTCTTTCAAGTCTTGTGTCATCTGCAAACTGTGAAATTGTCTTCTGCAGTCAGAGATCCAAATTGTTAATAATATCAGGAGAAACAAGGACCACATTCTCAACTTTTGTGGAACTCCACTACATACCTTCATGTCCAAAAGTAGTCATTGACCATTACTGTTTTCTACGACTGTCAATTTTGCATCCACATTGGTACTGACCCCTTTATTCCATGACCTATAACTTTCCTCACAAGTTTGATGTGTGACACTGTACCAAATAAATCTTTAGATGAGACGTTGACACCTGCTTTTCTCGGTCTGTTTTAACAATTTCAGTAAACACTAAAGATCCCAAAACATTGCTGGATAAAGAACAGAGTTCTCTTGGTCAAAATTCCTCCCTCAACAAACAAAAACAAAATCAACTATGCACTGCTGCTACTTGGAAGTAAGACTAATTCATGTCCTAAATATGGTAAGTATTACATTAATGTAAGTCAGCTTTTACCCAAGAAGGAATCCACCAAATCCAGAAAGTCTTCAACTTTTTTTAATATTTTTAAAATTTTTAAACTTTTTATAAGCACAGATTGTGCTTAACATTAGGGTTGATTAAGTCATAAAGTCACTGCTTCTCTGCATGAAGAAAAGCCTCTATACAGCAAGGACAAGAGCCCATACCTCCATACACAGCTTTCAAAAAGAGAAAATATATACAAAATAGAACATTTTTACAAGGCTAAAGGGTGCTACAATCGAAGCAGTCAGCTACAATTTTTATTTATGTATATAAAAGATCAAAAAAATTGATTTTTTTACACTTCAATGACTGAGATGGAAATATACAGACAGGCACAAAGCTAACAGTGAACTAGCTTTTGACATCACAAGGGAAGAAACAGGTACAAATGAAGGATAGTTCAAACGATTTTCAGAATGATAGGGCATGTCATATGTGGAGAAAGCTGCATTGTACTTGCAGCACAAATATCAAGTATCACTTCCTTATGAAACATGAATTTAACCCAAGGGTTACCACAACCGACTCTGCCATCCCTTAATACACGGGTGAGAGCGCATTAGGCAACCAGGCCTCAACATGGCAGGGTGATCAATAGACAAATTCAAATCAACATGTTCTAATACTGTAAGTTTAAAAACAAGTTTGGGTGGGAATGGAGATTCAGGTGGGTCCTTGCACACAAACATTTCCTCTTCACTACTTTGTCACTTCTCTACTTTGCCAGTATGGATTCAATGGCTGAATGACCTCCTTCTGTGCCATAATGCTACTTCGACAGCAGGCTGCTTCTAATGTATTTCCAACATTCTAGAAACAGGCTATATACAAAACCTGTTTGAGGTATTAATCTACCCACTGCTCTTTAAATTATCTGAAAACAGATTGCTTAGAATAAAAGACAACAACACATGATCAGAAAGCAATACTATTCCAAGACTGGGAAGCGAATAGTGACTCTGAACGAATTCAAGCACGAGAAGACTCATGAATGCACATATTTCAACAAAATGTGAAATTACTTTGGATTACCAGCTGGACTAACTGATTGGAAGTACAAAGGGGGATAACCATCACTGGGTGAATGGACATCCAATGTGATGTAGCCAGGGCAAAAGTATGCACAGGTTAATCAATTGTTTCAATTAAAACTAACTATTATAGCCATTGAACAAGCTGGTTTTGGAGTGCAATTGCTGGATGCATCAAGCATTACTGTCATGAGGCCAAAAAGGACTAACACCTAGGACTGTGGCCATATTAATTCACGGAGTCTGAATGCACTGTTTTGGTTACAAATACCAGTTTTTTTTTAGGTCACAGGATTTCAGTTTGAAGCCAAGGATACCAAATGCAAACAGCATGGTTTATGCTTACAGGCTGTTTCATGTCAGGGTGATATTGTCAATAGTTAAGATACATTTAGCTTTTGAGTGAATGAGAAAATCTGCTGTGCTTTTCATCGAACTATTTTGATGTTCTGCAATGCCAAGTATTGAGAAAATAGGAACATTAGTTGAAGCCTAAATATAGGTTAATACTGATCTAGATTCATTCTGTTCAAACCTACACTTAGCAGTGCTATAGAACAGAGATAAAGCATCTGGGATTATTGATCATTCACTTGCACGTGATACTTATGTATGATACAGTCACTCTCAGGAAACTGTATAAAACTAAGGAACTTCAACACTGTCCAGAAAACAAAGCAGTAGTTGGTTGCTGAATGTCACTATTCAACCCTAACAAGACCCACGTCTGATTAAGGTTTAACAAAAGTAATTTCTTTGGCAAACCATAGACCACAACAGATTTTATTTTCTAATTTGGCTTTGCTATTTTGAAAACCCTCAATTATCTAATATAAATCCTCCACCATTTTCTAATTTCAAAAACTAAGAGTGTTTTGGTTAAATGCACATTTAAAATATTACCACAGTTGTGGAATTGGTCAGAAGGTTGGCTCAAATCAATTGATATACTGAGTATAGGTAGCTCACAGAGGCAATTCAGACTGGACTAGAAGAAACTGCACCAGAGTGTACACACACCATGCTCTTCATTACCATGTTGTGGAGCACGAGTTCTCTTTCTCTTCCCTCCACCCAGTGGACTGAACCAGCAGGTTGTGGGCCAACTAGTTTCAGACAGTTAATACCCTTGTTTGTCTCCATCTCAATGGAAGGCAATGCATCTAGTCCTCTACCCTTGTCTCCCAGTTTAATGAAGTGGGAATACATTATACAGAACTAGTTCAAATTAAGCAGCGCAGCAGGCTGCCATATCGTATTGCAGTTATCTCTAAGTAAATGATCAGATATTGGACATCTGCTCTTCATAATTTATTTTGGGAGCATGGCTTTTATTGCTGCTTGCCACTAGCAGCCTCAGGAACAGAATGCAGCCACATTAATAGGAGATGAGCAAGGGATTCATCTGCAGCATGCAGACTTGTTTTCCTGATTACCTATTTTTAAAGAATGATCTAATCCTGCAGATTAACACTTAATATGCTCCAAGCAGTGGGTGGTGGTGTGGATATTCTTCTCTCAAATGACTGGTTTAGTGGTAATAAGTCCCACTTCCAGTGCAATTCAATGCTCACCTTTCTTTATGATTTTATGTCCTTAGTTCACAATATCACACATCAAGGTGTAGTACAGTTAACAGAGATCTGTATTACCACAACATGCAAAACACGGATGCTTAAGGTAGCAATTAAGATCGGGACTTCTCCAACATCCATAAATCTTATCTAGGAGTAAGGATATTTCTGTTGTTGAAAAGGAGGTGATCAGAGAGAGCAATCCTGCATGATTGGAGTGTCCTCCATTCACCTTGGCTTCCAGTAAATATCACAACAATCTTTTCACAGAATTGGCAGTGCTGGCGGAGTTTCAAATGCTGTCTCAGTGATCATCAGGTCAGGCGGGTGGTTGAAGAATGAGGTAGAGAATTGATACTGAAGACTTTGAAGATGATTGTTTTGAGGGAGCTATTAGGACAGATCTCCAGCTAAAACAACCAGCCTCTTCTCATTTGGCGCAGTCTGGCCTGCTGTGTATTTCCAATGCTTTTTCACTCTTTGTTTTAGAGTATTACTTTATGGTATAGGCTTGGTGCAGCAATACTCTGCGCATTCCTAAATTGGGCCTAGTTTTGTACAGAAGTGCAATCAAACTATTGTTCATAAATTTCTGGAGCCCTACATTCCTGCGCTGTATTTGACTCAGCTTAGCTTAATATCCTGAACAAGTGTTGAAGTAACTGCCTGACAACTGAAGCAGACTGCAACCACAGAGAAAATTAAATTTTTGAATATTTCAGCAAGAAATCCACTGTCAGTTTATCTAACTGTAACTTAGATTGGAATAGATGTTAATCTGAATGCTTGACTATTGATGGTTTTGCTTGTGTTTTGTTTGTATATAATCTGCATTTAGAACATAAGCACAAGCAGCAAAACTGCCCTCATCATCACATAAAGGCGGAGCTGTCACCACCTTTATCATAACGGATGTGAAGCAGCCACAAAGGTTCTGAGGTGTGTAAAGAGAAGACCCACTGTGAAGCTACAAATGGAATGATATTTGTATTTTTACTGCCGTTTCAGCCTTGCTCCCGCATGCACCCAAGATGGACATAAAATGCTAACCCCACTGGGATTTGATCACAAATTCAACAACTCTCCAAGATTGCCAATTCTTAATCAAACATCTGATCCCAGCTGCCACTCTGCAGTTGTTTCAAAGCAAAATGCAGAAACCAGTAAAGGACAGTAAGCAGAAGGGATCCAATTCTCCATTATATTCGCAACCACAGAGCAATCTGCTTCCTCCTTTGAACCCAGTTAGCTCAGGATGTGCTTACGACCACAACACTCAGCAACTCACCAAGTTCATAATAAATTCAATTCAAATTGACGGGATTTGATTGGATTAAATCCCCAGGATGCAGATGCTGTCCTCTCTGCACTTTGGTAATTGCTCATGCCAAAACTCAAAATAGGGAGTGATGCATTCAAATAAAAGTAAAATACTGCAAATGTTGGAAATGTGAAATAAAAACAGATCATGCTGAATGAAACTCAGCAAGTCTCACATCCTTTGTTGAGACAGAAAGAGAATTAACATTTCAAGTCCAATATCATTCAAATTCAGGTTCTGAAGGAGTCTCATATTGGACTTGAAACATCAACTCTCTTTCTGTCTCCACAGATGCTGTCAGACCTGCTGAGTTTCTCCAGAGTTTTTTTGCTGTTATTTTAGAAAGTAACGCAGTTTTCTTAAGAGTGAAACATTTAGTCATCTCAGTCTGACAGGAAAATGGCAAAACCAGAACAAAAAAATGAACACAAAACAGGACTGCTTTTGAACATTGTGTGCACGCTCCACTGTTGATTTAAGAGATCAATAATCACTACACGCAACCGAATGAAGTTAGCAACTTCGTTTACAAGTCTACTGATACAGTCCAATACCTGAAATATCAGTCAATCCAGCTTTTGCCCTAGAATCTAACTTAACCGAACTAACCTCTTCATTGTGATAACTGTGGCCGGTGACAAAAAATTTAATCTAAGAAAGCTACTTAAATGGAGTCTAAATTCACTAAAAACTGTGAATTTTGTTTGGGTGATGTTTGAATATCAAACGTTGAGACAAAGTGTAATTGTCACTAAAGTTTGTTTATCTGTGCGTGAGCCGCAGAGGTACAGAATGTCTCTGTTTATCATCATGGTGAACTGAGGATAGTGCACTACTTTCTGCCTCTCTGCTTCCTCTACTCGTACTCCCAGATGATCGGCGGCTGTTTCTGGTCTGTCTGTGGCTGGTTTCAACTCGACCCTCACGTTCAGTCCCAGGAATACATGCCAGTGGAAACGTTCGCTTCTCCCATGGTTGAACTGTCTGGAATAAAGGCAAATTGCTGGGTTACAGACAGAATATAGTACTTTACCATTGTGTATACTCATTTGGATAGACCAACTGCACCTCTGCCCAGTTTGAAAAAATAGGACAGAACTCAACTTCTCCATCAAGCACTGTGTAAAATATGCTATTTACAAAGACTTCAGATATACTTGTGCTAAAGCCAATGATTTTAGTCAGCACTGCAAAATTCATCCAAAAGACCAGAGAATGGCTCGTCTTCAAAATACTACAAATAGCTTGCAGAAGAAGGTGCTCCGGAAAATAGCAACATACAGGGATCTTTCCTCTGGGTAGAACTGTGCTGAATTTGCCTCTTACACTGTTAATGAAACAGCATTTGGCTACTTTACATCAACTAATACTGAACTTGCTGTGGCACTTTCAGATGCTGACGCTGAGTCTCTGAAATGAAAAGCGGAGGGGAACTGAGGTGAATCACTGAATGACAACACTGAGAGAGTCTTCAACTGCAAGACGTAGCTCAACAGAAAACGGAGCATGATGCCATCTAAACTAATTAATAGGTGGTCTCAATGTAAGCTTAGTCTTACCTATTGACTAAATGCGATAGGATGGGCTGTTGAATTCTCTCTCTCCCAGTGATCAGTCTTAGTTAATCTAACAGATGAAAGGAATAGATCATACTCAGAATCTCAATTTTTATGTATTGCCACAGCATGGCGCTTAGCCAAACTTAGTGGCTGGGTGGATTATACAACTCTATCTCAATAGAACAGAATAGAAAAATACATACAGCTGCAGCATAATACTACCACAGCATTCGGGCATTTGCCTGATTTACTTCATCAAAACCCTTGAATATTCTTTTAACTCCTCAATTTTCTAATTTTTTTTATCTGGTGAAAAAAGTTCCAGTTTCTCTAGTCTGAAATAAAACCTCAGATCTGACAGTAATTCTTCTATAGCTTCTGTGACCTTGACATCCTTGCACTTCACATAGCCCGTACTTCCATCCAGCCATTGATAATCCTCAGTCAGTTTTCCCTTATTACCCATTCATCACCCAGATGAAACAGCTTTTCACTGTTGATTTAATATCTTTCAGTATTTTGACAATGCTATCCCTTCTTTGTCCAATTCATCTTATGTTTTTATGTAGCTTTTTGAGATTCTTCAATCTATAAAATCACATTCAAAACAATTTCCACTGCCCCTTGATCTGGCTCTGGTGTCCTTGCAATTACAGGTTATTCAAAACTGCAGATAGTACTTTAGACAAAAAAACAAAGGTTTGCACAAATTTAATTGTTCCTCATTTCTCTTAATTCTGGCTTGTTGGTTGCACTCTTGCCAGGTCGCCCCAAGTCAGAAAATTGACGGCTCACATTACAGTCTAGAGATTTCAGCACATAATTTGGCTGGTACTGCAGTGCAGGACTGAGGGAAGGCTACAATTCTTAAAAGCGCCACCATTCGGCCAAGATATTAAACTGAAGGCCCCCAAAGTTGGATTAAGCGATCCTATTGCGCTGTTCGAAATTGTAGCAGGGATGCTTTCCTTGTATCCTGACCAACAATGAAATAACCAAAACTCTGATGTCATTTAACCCATTACGTCTCTTTGAAAGAGCTGTGTCCAATTAGTCCTAACGATCAACATCTCAATGTATCTGGTCGTTTACCTCATTGCTGTTTGTAGAACTTGGTTTTGAAGTAGGCTAAGTGAAAACAGTACATTAAACTGAAACTCTATACCTTTGTTTTATGTTCAATAACAATGTATACAAAACTCAGGATCCCAATTATCTTCACTGCATTCCCACCCCTACTACCACATTAAAGAACTGCAGCTTTCTGACTATCTCTGTTTTTAGAATCTGACTACATTGCTTTGCTGTCCTATTTTCAAAATGCCTCAGGTTTCTGCAACAATATGCCTACTCTGCTAATTTATATCCTAAAATACTCAGATACTCAGATTGCCTTCTCTCTAATTTAGAACCAGAAATGAATTTCTCCAGGGTACCAATTGAAACATAAATCACCAATCTGAAGAACGCCTGGTGTTTTCATGCCAAGTTCTGCATAAATGCAAATTAGACGAGGATGATAAGTTCTTTTCAATCACGCTGATAGCCTTTGAATGATCTACATTATTAATTCTATCTCATATCAAAAACGAACTCTAACTGAACTCAACCAAAGAAAGACCAACTGCCCTGTAATTTTCTGCTGAACTTGTTCTCCTGCCTTAAACTAACACTAACATCCACCACCCCGTCACTTGCCTCAACATCTGTTCCAACTGGGCCTGATGATCTTGGAACCATAAGGAATCTGCCATGAAATCAGTGCATGGTTGTCTTCATGGCAGACATCAAGTAAGTTAGATTTTTAACGCGCAATATTTTACTTGGTTCAACTGCTTATTCTCACCTGTTCTTCTTGACCAATATCTGGGGTTGAACAGCGTGTATCCTCATTTGAAACCCGTCCAGCGCTCTCTCGAGAAAGAGAGGAACAAAATGTATCCGGACTGACAGGAGGTGCCGAGGGACTGCAAGGTGAAGGTGTGAGGGGCAAGTCTCCAATACTGTGGAAGCTCACATCGGGGGAAGCAGATTGAGGGGTCGAAGGATTTGTATTACCGGGCTGAGAGGTGGAATGTTCATCTGTTGATTTGTGAGATCTGTGGTTTAGGAAATAAAAATGTTTTATCAATCATAGTCACTTGGTCCAGATTCAGACAGCATAGGGTCAAGTGCAAAGTCAAGGCATGCAATGAATAGGAATATTTCTGGTTTGGCGGTGGGGGAGGGATAATAAAAAGTAACAAAAATTGTTGCAAAGAAATTAAGCACCGTGATAAGTGTGGCAGAACAACATGAGGGTCAGAGTCTATTTATCACGTGAATGTTTGATACGCTAATGGTTAGAGCACAAGCAAAAGTAGAAACACAAATTCAGCTGGGAGACTGTGACAGACTGGTAATCTCAGAGAATACAGAACAGTACAGCACAGGAACGGGCCCTTGGCCCACGATGGTACACTGCACATGACACCAAATTAAACTAATCCCTCCTGCCTGTCCTCGGTCCATATCCCTCTATTCCTTGCATATTCATGTGTTTGTCTAAAAGTTCCTTAAATGCCCAATTGTATCTGCCTCCACCACTACCTCTGGCAGCATGTTCCAGACTCCTACCAATCTGTAAAAAACTTGCTCCACACATCTCCTTTGAACCTTCCCCCTCTAACCTTAAATGCATGCCCCCGAGGATTAGACACTTCAATCCTGGGAAAAGGATTCTGACTGTCAACCCAATCTATGCATTTCATAATTTTATAGACTTCTATCAAGTCTCCCTTCAGCCTCCACTGCTCCAGAGAGAACACAGTTTTTATAGCCTCCCCTTACAGTTCATACCTTCTAATCCAGGCAGTATCCAGGTAAACCTCTGCTGCACCCTCTCCAAAGCCTCGACATCCTTCATGTAATGTGGCAACCAGAACTGAATGCCATACTCTTAGGTGTGGGCTAAAGCTGCAACATGACACTTGCACTCAATTCCCTGACCAATAAAGGCAGGCATGCCATATGCTTTCTTTACCACCCTATCTACTTGTGTGGACACTTTCAGGGAACTATGGACTTGAATGCCAAGATCCTTCTGCACATCAATACTGTTCAGGGTCCTGCCATTAACTGTATACTTTTCCTTAACATTTGATCTCCCAAAGTGCAGCACCTCACATTTACCAAGATTAAACTCCATCCGTCATTTCTCTGCCCATATCTGTAACTGATCTATATCCCACCATATCCTTTGACAACTTTCTCTACTATTCAAACTCCATTGATCTTTGTGTCGTCTGCAAACTTATTAACCAACCATCTACATTTTCATCCAAGTCATAGATAACTATATCACCAGAGATCCCAATACAGATCCCTGTGGAACACCACCAGTCATGGACCTCCAGCCAGAAAAACACCCTTCCACCACTACCCTCTGTCTTCTTTGGGCAAGCCAATTCTGAATCCAAGTGACCAATTCACCGTGGATCCCAAGAATCTTAATGTTCGGATGAGTCTACCATGAGGGACTTTATCAAAAGCCTTACTAAAATCCATGTAGACAACATCCATTGCACTACCCTCATCAATCACCTTCGCCACCTCCTTGAAAGGATTCAATCAAGTTAGCATGATATCACCTTCTCCACACAAAGCCATGCTGACTGTCCCTAATTAGGCTATGCTTTTCCAAATGTGTGAAAATTCTATCCCTAAGAATTCTCTCCAATAGCTTCCCAACCACCAATGTGAGGCTCACTCGTCTATAGTTTCCTGGATTTTGGTACAAGCAGAGCATTGCTAAATATTCCAGGTTACAAAGTTCCAAGGGAAATTGAAAATGAGTAGTAGCACTGACACTTACAAAATTACAGAGTACATCAGCATGGATGGGCAGACAGTGGATAGGCTGTGGACAGAACTGAGGAATAGTAAAGGGTACTGGACTTCCTCGTTAAGAGTTGATTGGAAATCTTCAGGTACAAGAAAACAGTAGGATGCATAAATACTAAGACCAGATAAACTTGTTGCAACAACATAAACTATATTGGGAGGCTCTTCAGTTATCCCATAGGTTGTTTTACCTTGCCCAGCCTGAGAGTCAAAGTTAGCGTTCTACCAAGGGAACAGAAAATATCTCTGACATCACAAACCTGAAACAGTCAATAATCTAACAGCAAGGAAGCAACTAAGTAACAGTGACCAAATTTGACATGAGGTTTGAGAAAGAGTTAGATCAAGAACCAAACTTTTAAATTTAGCTAAGAGTGATTCTGGAGGGATGAATCAGAAAAGGGCCACAATAGAGTGAACAGAACTGTGATTCAATAAAACTGCAGATGGGCAGGAAAGTAGTGAATGAAAAGACATTTTGTGTATCAGACTACTGCACACCTTAGAGGACTTTACCTTGATTAACAAAGGGAAGTGAGAGGCAGTGTGAAACTAAAAGGACTTCTACAAAAAAGCAGAGAACAGTTGAGATCCTATAGCCTGGGCAACTTAAAAAAGTAAAAATAAAATTGGTATCAGACAGAACAATACAGATAGTGACCAGTCATCAAATCCATCCCTTTCAATGAGCAGTCCATTTCATTCCGCACATTTAAATGCTGCTATTGAATCTGTACTTATCATCTACTACTACAAAGTGTAACAAAGTTTCCCACTCACATTACCTCTGGTCCCTTTGTCAATTACCTTGGACCAGTGCCTTCTGATTCAAACCTTTCAACCGCTAGAAACTGTTTCTTTCTATTGAATATATCCAAACCTTTCCTCTTAACCACCTCTATTAAGGAAATGAATCCACTTTTCTCCAGTTCATCCACATGACTAATTCTAGGTGCTTGAAACCATTCTCAAGGTTTGTTTGACGCTCTCTAAAGCCTTCACATGCTTCCCACTTTATGTATTTTGTGCTTCTATTTATAAAGCCAAGGATTCCTTATGTTTTATCATCAGCTGTTTTTGTAAACTTGCCCTGCCACCTTCAAAGACTGCACCGACACCAGTGAGATTCCTTTCTTCTCATATCCCCTTTAAACTGAAACTGTTAGCACTTATTGTTTCCTAATCTTTTTCCACCAAAATTGCCTCAAATTTCTAAATTTCATGTACTATGTTTGATCATTGTGCCAACCTACCCACATTTTCTTGAAGTTTATGATCCTTTCTATTGTTTATTACACTTGCATTTCTATGTCAACTACAAATTTCAGATTGTACCCTGTACTCACTTTTGACAACTCAACAGTACTTACCTCCCCCTTGTCCAAATAAAACAGCCATTCCCCATAGCTCTTTATATCCATGCTGGTCCATGGGAGTGCTAATTTATTCCTGCAACATTGTTTCTGAATGATACTCCTCCACTAAAATTAAATGGAATGGTCTGTAAATACCAAGTTTATCCATCTCCCCTTTTTTTGAAGAAAGGTGTGATCCTCTTTGGGAAAAATATACACAAGTGAAATATATTTTTCATTCCTCTCTGGCCACAGGGCAAGTTTACAAAAACAGCTGATGATAAAACATAAGGGATCCTTGGTTTTATAAATAGAAGCATAAAATACACAAAGCAGGAAGCTATCTTAAACTTACATAAAAGTCCAGCTGGACTATTGTCTCCATGTCTCTTCAGGAAGCAGGTGAAGGCTTTAGAGGACTGGCAAATGGCTAGTGCAGTTCCACTTTTTAAGAAGTGGAGATGAACCAGGAAATTACAGCCTGGTGAGTCTCACATCAGTGGTAGGGAAACTGTTGGAAAAAATCTGAAGAAGCAAACTACTACCCACTTGGAAAGGCATGGGGTAATTTGGGATAATCTGCATGGCTTTGTCAGAGGGAGGTCGTGCCTAACAAATTTGTTGGAATTTTTTGAAAATGTGATGAAGCGCATGATGAAGCAAGTTCAACTGATGTCGTCTATATGGATTTTAGCAAAGCTTTTGGCAAGGTCCCACATGGGAGACTGATTGAGAAGGCTAAAGCGCATGGAACTGAAGGAAACTTGGTGAGGTGGATCCGAAACTGGCTTAGTCATAGGACACAAAGGGTAGTGGTAGAAGGCTGTTTGAGTGACTGCAGTCTGGCGTCTAGTGGTATACCACAAGGACTAATACTGGGATCCTTATTTTTTGTTATATACGTAAATAATATAGATGAAAATGTGGGGGGAATGTTAGGCAAATTTGCAGATGATACCGAGACTGGTAGAGTGATTAATAGCAAAAATGATGGTTGTAGGTTAAAGGAAGATGTGGATGGGTTGGGTAGATGGGCAGAACAGTGGCAGATGGTACTTAACCTTGAAAAGTATGAGGTGATGCACTTTGGGAGAAGAAACAAGATGAGGGAGTATTTAATGAATTGCAGGATACTGGGTGGTTTAAAGGAACAGAGTGATCTTGGGGTAATTATTCACAGATCCCTGAAGTTGGCAGAGCATGTGAATAGGTTTTTTACAAAGCTATATGGGACACCTGCTTTCATCAGTCGTGGCACAGACTATAAAGGGCAAGGAGGGATTGTTGGAGTTGTACCGAGTGTTAGTCAGGCCACAGCTGGAGCACTGTGTGCAGGTCTGGTCATCTCACTATGGGAAGGATGTGATAGCACTAGAAGGGGTACAAAGGAGATTCACCAGGATGTTGCCCGGGATGGAGAAATTGAGCTACGTGGAGATACTGGATAGGCTTGGATTGTTTTCTCTACAGCAGAGAAGACATAGGGGGTACATGACTGAGGTGTATAGGATTATGAGTGGTATGGACAGGGTGAATATAGAGCAGCTGTTCCCCTTGGTTGAAGGGTCAGTCAAGAGAAGCAAAGTTTTAGGGTAAGGTGCAGGAGATTCAAAGGAGATTCGGAAAAAACATTTTCCACTTAGCTGGTGGTGGCTATGTGGAACGCACTGCCTGGGAAGGTAGTGGAGGCCGGAAACCTTATAACCGTTAAAAAATATTTGGATGAGCACTTCAAATATCATAACATTCAAGGATATGGGACAAGTGCAGGAAATTGGGATGAGCGCACCTTTAGTGATAGTTACGTTGGTACAGACTCGATGGGCCAAAGGGCCATTTCTGCGCTGTGTGAATCTATATCT